ATGCTTTATGCAAACAGAGAATAATGCCATACATGTTGTACTTAGACGTTCTGAAAATCACTGGCTAAAGATCAGTGAAGATAGACGTGTTATCTTTGGTAACAACTGCACTTTGTTAACGCTTTGTATCTTTGGACTGCCTAATCTCTGGACCAAAATGAGTGCTCACTGCACTTTTTAACAGTTTCACTCTGTCACATGACTGCTGATATGCTTTGTCAGCACAAAACACACAGGCCAGACGTTAACTGTAAGTTGAAGTGTTCGTTTCCAGCACAAACAAGTTTGTTTTTTCTTCTTCTATTCGTATGACAATCGTGTTGTCCTTCAATAAAGGTGGTGCCATCTGTCATCTGTGTATGTAGATTCAGTCACTACAGAATTAATAAGCTGAAGGCTTGTTTGTTTAAAAAAAAAACAAAAAAAAAACCAGGAAGTCATTGGGACCTAAAAAATGATCTTATCCCCTCACATGACTTCAGCAATGTCTATCCAACTTGGCATGCCAAGTGCTTTTTATTTGTAGTGTAGTTTGCTGTGCTGGCATCTTGTAGCAGATCCCCAGTTATCATCTTTCCCTGTCATTACGATTTCAAAATAGCCAAACACCTAAAATAAAAAGTATTCAGTGCAACTCAATTTTATTTATATGTATGTGTGTATATATATAATATATTTATATATTTAATATTTATATTATTCACAGCAATAGTCATCACAAGGCTTCATAAGAACACTTCTGAGGCGAATCTACTCTCTACTGTTACCAATTTCTCATCAGATTAGTTTTTTAATTAACCACGCTGATTTCATTGTATTTTGATTAAGTAGGAGATGATTAAGCATTGTCCTAATCATCTCCAGGTTAAAACGTCCCTCTGTGTCTAAAGATGTGTGGTGTGTGTGTGAGTAATAGCCTCTTGTATTGGATAAAATGTCACAAAAAATAGGGTGTTTTTAGACTTAAACCTTGGTATGACTAAAGCTCAGTGCATTCAGGCATGCAATCAATCAATCAAGGCTTTATTCGCCACGTGCAGGTTGCCCTGCAGTGA